TGTATACTTTTATTTTCTTATATTTCTTGAATATTCTTGGTTTATAAAATTTAATATATAATTTCTGTAAGGATTCAGGCATTATGCTGGCCTGCCCCTGTTACCTGGCAGAATGCACTCAGGCAGTACTCTGGTCAGCTCAAGGTTCCATGATTGTGTACTCTGCATGCAGGTGCAAAGGACCCCTTTAAAAGACAGACCCCACCTACTTATGCTCTCTTTCCTGCTGTTCCTCTGAGGCAGACAGGACTTTTCCTGTTTCCCTCATCTCTTCTGTCCTCTCTCTGTCTCTCTACCTTTTCCCTCCTCACCCACTTCCCTTTCTAATAAAACTTCTCACTTAAGCTCTATCTGCCTGGCATGTTTGTACCCTGCCTCAGTCACCCTCGCCTGCCATAGAATCCGCCAAGGTTCCCCACACACTTTATCATAACAATTTCTCCCTCTCCTTTCTTCCCTCTAAACCTTTCCATATACCATTCCCTGCTTTCATTCAAATTCCTGGCCTCTTTTTTCATTAGTTATTATTGTATGCATGACTGTTTCTGTCCTTGCCCTGCTGCAGTTTGTGTGTGTGTGTGTGTGTGTGTGTGTGTGTGTGTATGTGTGTGTTCTGCTCAATCTAGTTACTTATATGTTTGTTTTTAGGACTGATCATTTGGTATTGGATAACCAATTGGTGTGGTTTTGCCTGAATGAAACTATTTCTCCTGCCCTCAGCATGCCTTAGCTGTCAGTATTTGTTAGTAAGATTGAGACCTCATGGGCTGTCGTTCCCCTGTCCACTTTGCTATTGTTGTTGTCCTTGTTGGGAGTTTCTTGAATATTTTCAAAGATCAATGAATTTGTAAAATGAATTAGTTAAGTCCAGCAAGATGGCCTAGCAAGTAAAGCCACCCAGTGAGCTACCATATTTGATACTTCAGATCAGTGGTGGTTTGAGCAAGTATGGCCTCTATGGAGGAAGTGTCACTGAGGTAGGTTTTGAGGTTTCAAAAGCCCATGCCAAGTCCAGTGTCTTTCTCACTTAGGGTCAGGATGTAGGTTTCAACTTCTGTTCCAGCACCATCTGGGCCACCATAATAATAATGAACTAAACCTATATGAAATTATAAACAAACCCCTGATTAGATGCTTTCTTTTCTAAGAGTTGCCATGGTTGTGGAGTGGTGGCGGCAGCAGCAGCAGCAGCGAATGCCTTTAATTCCAGCACTCAGGAGGCAGAGGCAGGTGGATCTCTGTGAGTTCGAGGCCAGCCTGGTCTACAAACCTACACAGAGAAACCCTGTCTCAGAAAAAAAAATAAATAAGGAGTTGCTGCGGTCATAGTGTGTTTTCACAGCAATAGAACAGTGACTAAGACAAGTTCAATTTCTGGAATCTACACAGGGGACACAAAATCGACTTCCACAGCTGTCCTCTGACCCCCATTCATGCCATGGTACATAGTGTCCCACACAACAAAGTAAATAATGATAATAATGAATTAGTGAATAGATGCATCCTATTGAAAAGCAGATGTATGCCACTCTGAGCAAGCTGGAAAGGTGTCAAAGCAAAGCTGTCCTGTGGTCACATCGTAAGAAGGCCAAAGCCCACGCTGCTCTTGGCACTTAAAACAGACAGTGTAGATGCCTACACTGTCAGCCAATGAGACAAAACCCACAATCTTAAGAACTCCAAAAGACCCACAAGAGTTTTTCATGTCTAGCCTTTGAAGGTCTCCTCTGTTCTCACCCCACGGTCACCTTCACTCACATATATTATCACCAACAAAATGCTTCTAACATCTACATATTTCTCCAGACACACTACTGCATTCTATGCTATTTTTAATTATTCCTCTTATGCAGCTGAAATTGGCATCTCTATGATGTTTATACATTGATCCTACTGCTTGCTGTCTTTTGGGCCACACAGAATGCATCAATACCTTTTCTGTAATTATCTCTTCAAGACTACATATTCTCAATGAGCTGTGTAAACCCAGCACTTGGGGGATGGAGACAGGAAGGCCAGGAGCTCAAGCCTTGCCATGAATACATAGAGTTCAAGGTCAACCTGGGCTACCTGAGACCCTGTCACAGACAGACAGACTGATGACCAACCCAAGGACACTTTCTCCCTTAAGTCAGAATGCTTGCTACTTCAATGGCTCCTCAGGTAATTAGCTTTCCAGACTCTGTTTTCTTGATGTACAGGATGCTTTTGTTTTACAAAGAACCTCCCCCCAAAAGACTCATTACACTGAATGTACTTCCTAAGAGGAAGCTGTCATGGAGCAGACTCTAAAATAACCCCAGGGTCTGCTTCTCGGTAATCCCCCTTGTAAAATGCTGAGTGTGTGAGGAAGCTATGATGTTTTTCTATTAATAACTCATAGGATGTGACAAAGGGGTGGGATGTCACCCCTTTTCACTGTATTCCATGCTAGAAGGAGATACTTTTGCTAGCAATTCTCCTTCGTTGGCTACAAGGAACTGTAGAGCCATGTTAGGAAGCCGATGGCAAGAATGATGACAGCACCAGGTAAAATGCAAGAAAGCAAGGCCTTTGGTCCACTGATCCTCAAGTACCCGAATGTGCCCAACACTGCAAAGTGAGAAGCCCACCTGTCACTAGAGGGACCACAGCTCCAGTTGGCACTTCAGCTGTAGACTTGGGAGATTCTGAAGTGGGAACCTAGCCAAACCCTGCTCAGACTCCTAATCCATAGAAAATGGGAGAGACAGAACCAGCAAGATGGCTCAGTAGATAAAAGTGCTGGCAGCAAACCTGACCACCTGAGTTTGATCCCTGGATTCCATCATGGAAAGAAAGAATGAACACTTGAAATTGGCCTCTGACCTTCACATAATAAACATTCACCTACATGCACAGGACACACAAGACACAGGCAGACAGACAGAAAGACAGACAGACAGACAGACAGACAGACAGACAGACAGACACACGCGTGCGCGCACAGACACATGAAATATGTGTATCTTAAAAACAATAAAATAAAATAAAAGGTGGGTGTGGAGGTACATGTCTCTGATCCCAGCATTTGGGAGGCAGAAGCAGGCAGATCACTGAGTTCGAGGCCAGCCATGGTCTACAGAGTGAGTTCCAGGACAGCCAATGCTACTCAGAGAAATCCTGTCTTGAAAAACAAAACAAAATCAAAAGCAAATGGTGAGTAACAGGGAACCTGAATGTTAGCACCTGCAAATAAGTACTCAGATCTAACACACAGGAGGACTGTCCTCCCATTGTCCCCCTCCACACACACACACACACACACACACACACACACACAAAACAAAAAAACAGAAAAACAAAAAAACTTTCCATTGAAAGGGAAGAACTCTTCTTTAACATTTGGCTTCCCCTAGTTCATTTCATGGAATCATTTAGGAATAGCTTTGCTAAGTAAATACTCAAAACAAAGAGGTACAGACCACGAGAAGAGTCAAAACTTAGGTGTCCCACATCCAGAGGGGTGGAGAGAAGAACAGAAGAAGTCTGAAAGGCCAAATAAATATCCTGTGTTCAATTTATAAACAAAAGTAGTACAGGAAGGAGGAAACAAAAAGCAAAATTACACCATGATCTATTTCAAAATCAGGATGTGCTAAGAGAAAAAAACAAAACTAAAAAAATAAATAACTAAAACCTGCAACAAAATTAAAGTCATGTTTTCTCTCCTACCCGTGGCTTTTCAGTCTGTAGTGTGGGCAAGAGATATTTACTTCTCTATGCACCAGGACACATCAGTAATGGCTTTCCAACACTACACAGATTTTCCACATTTTAAATAAGTCAACTTTCAACAGTGAAGTGTAATCCCAACTATTTCAAAGAGTACTAGAAGCTGGGTGTGGGGGAGGACACATGGGCGCCTCAGGGGACCACCAGGAAATCTGTACATAGAAATAAATGGTGGGTTGTGTATTAGGAGATAGGACAGATTAGAAAAATAAGCTTCTGATATTTATTTTTGTTTGGGAACAATATATATAAAATCCAGAGAATCCTCCTAGACATAGGAGGGGGTGGGCATCAGTGGCACATGAGAGTAAGACAGAAGGCTTTTTACTCTGCTGTGACCAGTCATGGCAATGGCTCTAGTACAGAAGCCAACTGGAGTACTACAGAAGCAAGATAACTCATGGTGAACAGGGCTTGTCATCTGATGATGCAGGCCTGACAGTCCCACTACACAGAGTTGTTCTTTGACCTCCATTTGTGCGATGGCACGTGCACCTACATATGTATCACACACACACACACACACACACACACACACACACACACGGAGGATGAACCCGGAGTTCAAGAAAGGGGGGAGAGAGAAACAGAGAGAGGGAGCAAGAATATGAATGTTTAAGTATACAAATCTATGGCTTTTGTAGAAATTGGACAGGTGTTTGTTTCTCAAGGCTCATGTGCTAAAAGCTAATGCTTAGCCACGGCACGATTAGCGCATCGAAGAACCTTTAGGAGGCTGGCCTTAGGGGAAGAAATTAGGCCACCAAGAAAGGACCACTGAGAGGGTCTGTGGAATGCCTCCTTTGCCTCTCTCTGCTTCCCACCTGTCTGTCCTCAGGTGAGCAGCTCGCTCTAGCACATGGTCCCCTTTGACATACCTCTTCATCTCAGACATCCCCTATGATATACTGCAAGCAGGCTGAACTGCAACTGCCAACGATGTGAGATGCAAACAACCTTTACCCTCTTAAAGCAGATTTATCTCAGGTATTCAATACAGTAACAAAGCTGACCAGTACAATAGAATAGTACTTGTTAGGTATTAAAATATTTTGTTCTTCATTTTGCTTCTATTTCTCTTAACAGGAAATAAGAATGAATGCATAGACTACTTTGGTTTCAAAATTAATGCATTTCACCATCTCATAAAAAAGTGAAGTGTGCATCTGTGTAGATTTCTGTATCTCATTTCATTTGCTTTGTAATCAATTCAGACAGAGCAACCAGTGTCACCTTTAATCACTTACATCTCTGTAGCCATCTTTCATATTCCCAGAAATGTCTCCTGCTATGTCTCTACAACCAGCGGGGCAGAATTTGCTGTAAAAAAAGAATTTATATTTTATCAGATTACACTGAAACCAAAGAAAGGCATTAAACTTAACTTCTGGTTTTTCCCCATTTTCATAACATAAACAGCAATATCTTTCTTCAAAGACAAAGAACCTAATTTGTAAAAACACAAACTGATATAAAATGTTAACCTGGAAACCAGTTTTACACAATGGTTTCTTGCTTTCTATAAGGCTTATCACTAGTAAAGTATTAAAGCAGCTCCCCTAATGTGCTTTGCTTCTAAGATGCCTAAGAAATACTTCTAAGGTAAAAGGAAAATTTGCCTATAGCTGTATTAGAAAAGTAAAAAGAAACAGGAAAAATTAATAATATACATTTATCACAATATATCTAAATTGTTAATTTCCACATATCATGAAAAACAACAAGAATCAAGGAGATAACTTTGTTTTTTCTGAGTATTGGGGATATATTTTACACCTGTAGTACACTTCACCTTGGACTTGACATGGTTCAGATACACTGTGTATCGGGGCTACTGTAACAGACACTACTACTCCATGTTAGTAACAAATTACCTATACAATTAAAGTGTCCTATTTTACACTTAGGGCACATTCAGTCCTCATCATACAAGTCTGTAATCCCAACGGATCCAAAGACCGAGAGGGCAGGATCACCTGTCTCAGGACAGGGTTCACCCACAAGTGTGTGTACACACATACAAAATAAACAGTAATAAAACAGGACTCAGTTTACTTCACAGTCATCATTCAAGGAGCTTTCTAGTGTGGCTAGAGGCTGTTGACTTGAGTCAGTCTCTACATAGCTAGCTGACCTTTGATCATCTCTCACTCGGCTCAGTCTCTTTTTTTCCAGTGTCTTGAAGCATCAACACATCAAGGACAATTCCATCTTTCAAACACAACACACACACACACACACACACACACACACACACACACACAAACAGTAAAAACACGGAAAGCTTGGAAGATAAACGCTGAATGCCCATTTCTATATATACTACTTCACAGTCCTCCTTTCCTTCCTCCCTTCCTTCCTTCTTTTGAGATTATAAAATAATCACACCATTATTTCCTCTTTCCCAGCTTGCTATATGCCCCTCCTTGGTCTCTTTCAAATTCATTAATCATTATTACATATATGTATAAACATATAGTCCTAAATACAACCTGCTTGGCCTCTACAGTGTTACTTGTATATATGTTTACAGGATTGATCATTTGGTACTGTATAATCAACTGCTGATCTTAGCATTCTGTAGCTGCTTATATTCTTTGTGTAGAGTTTGAGGCTTCTTTACTCCATTTGAATAGTGACAGATTCCAAAATAACAGCTGTTTCTTTTTATTTCCTTTCCTTTCACTTTCCTCTTGCTGCTTAGAAAATTAGGCTGTAATGACAACTAATTATTGAATGACTCAAATAAACATTTCATAGTTCTTTCCTAGTGCTTACAAGGAGTAGTAATCAAGGAGTTGAGAAATAAAAACAACCTCCTGCTGGTTCACAGGTCCTTAAGAAACAAATTGCTTAGTGCCAGATAAGCCTCTGAATTCAGAATGTTTAGGACTGCAAAAAAGTGAAATGGTGCCAATGATGCCCATAATATAAGACCCCCACAGAGTCCACACATGTTAATCAAAAGCCGTAAAAGCTCACATGGAATGCCCAGATAACTATAGTAAAATGCAGAACGACAAAATAGCCTCATGCTAATGTAGTCTAATTTTGCTGTCAAATGAACTGACAATCAAATGAGTAACAAAGGACTTCCAAAGCTTTCTATATTCCAGAATTATGGGTAAGGGGTGTGTGTCTATACTAGTGGCCATACTAGCATTGCAAAATGGCTGGCCTAAAGTGGAACCAATCTGTCATCATAATGCCTCATTGGATGCTTGAATATACTCTCCTTTTCTGTTATGCCCAGGGCCCTGAATATGTGTGGCTGGTAAAACATTAAAGGCCATTAGCCTCTGTATACATGAGTTGCAAGTCAACATATATTTTTTTACACTTTGATTTCTCGTGGCACACTTAGTATTAGCTAATACTGAAATTGATTCTGCATATCAAATAACTATACTGAGAATGCCCAAATTTGTGAGATAGTTATGAACACAGACTCTTAAACCTAACTCTGGGAGCAACTCAGTGTAGTTACTTGCATGGATGGTGTAGAGAGCGGCACTGGCCACTAAAAAAACAAAAGTTACAGTTTTGCTATTGCTGTTGGTAGTGACTTCTAGACAGTAATCATCAGCTGGGGGTGCTTTTGTCCCCCAGAAGACATGAATCACTGTCTAGAGCCAGTCTTGGTTGTTGCAACTGGCATGTAGACAGCAAAATTCAGAGAATCCAGGCATTCAACAATGCCTCGGACAGCCCTACACAACAAAGAATCGCAGAAAGAGCATGGCTATGGCTGGGGATTCCCTCTAGACCATATCACTTCATTGATGGTGAAGAGGAAACATGGATCAGAGATTAGTAATCTGTAGTTAGTAAAGCTGAGCTAACAGCCATACCTTTACCCTCTATGGGCTTTTCTTAGGATAAAAGGCAAAGCCCCCATAAAGAATTATACAACTCATTTCCACATACTAGCCAGGGAAACAGTAGACTCCAGACTCAACTGTGGCTCCCTGGTAATACAGCAGAAATTAGGGTTCAGCAAACTATGGACCAAGTCCCAAATATACCTTGCTTTTTCCTGTGTGTGTGTGTGTGTGTGTGTGTGTGTGTGCGCGCGCGCGCGCGCGCGTGTGTGCGTGCGCGTGCGTGCACTCACAGGCCAGGCTCACCACTGAACTTCTGGTTCCCCATTGCTAGGACCAACACAGATAATGTGCTACCACATTCAGTCGGAGCCATATCCCCACACTGCTGCTTTTTTTTTTAACCTTAAATCATGTGTACATAATTGTGGTATGGGTATGAGCCTGTGAGGTCAGGTGAATCTCCTGCACCTAGAGTTACAAGTAGCTGTGAGCTTCCTGAGATGGGAATGGAAACCAAATTCAGTCTTCTGCAAAAGCAGTCTATATTCCTAAATGCTGAGCTATCTCTCCAGCCTGGGCATGTTCTTATAAATAAAACTTTACTATAATGCCAACATATTTGTTTCTATCATCTACCTTGGCTTTTTTGCTTCAGCAGCAAGAGATTGCATGAGTCAGTGCAAAGGGAACTCTTAGCCTACCAAACCTCTATTTACAGTGCAGCTCTAGACACAAGGCTTGCAGACTCTGCCTTTTGGAAACATCTCTCAAATTCTCCTATTATTACATATAAATAATTCAGGACAAAAATTTACCTGTATTTTTCCTCCGAATAATGATTGCCTCGTTCCAAACAGGTTATTAAATCTATTACAAATAAAGAGAAGTACAATTAGCAGGTAAGTAGAAACCAGGCCACCTGTTTCTAAATATTTCTTTAGAGATAAAAAGAGTAAACTTTGAAAGCATTATCATGCTATTTGAATTTGTCTAAAAATAAATAAAATCTGAGATTACAGTCTCCAATGTTTAGTCCATTTCTTTTTCTTTTCCTGTCACTCATGGTGACTTTTTAGTGCTACTATCTAGAGAACAGTAAAATCATCTACTTTTAACAGCAGCCACTGGACATCTGAGGGTATCATGTACACAATATCTCTGCCAAGAGGGAAACCATATTAAAAAAAAAAATCACAGTTCATGGAAAACATCCCCAGAAAGATGTTTTTTCTCATTTACTTATTTATTTGTTTGTTTATTGAGACAGGGTCTGAGGTAGCCCAGGTCTCAAAGTCACTATATAGCTGAGGATGACCTTGACATGTGATGGTAGTTTGAAAGAAAATGGTCCCTCCCCATAGGGAGTGGCACTATTAGGAGCTGTGACCTTGTTGGAGGAAGTGTGTCACTGTGGAGGCGGGCTTTGAGGGCTCATATATTCATAAGTCATGCCCAGTGGTTCAGACCACTTCCTGTTGCCTACACAAGATACAGAACTGTCAGCTACCTCTCCAGCACCATGTCTGTCCGCACACTGCCATGTCCCTCCAGAATGATAATGGACTAAACCTCTGAAAATGTAAGGCACACCAATGAAATGTTTTCCTTTATAAGAGCTGGTCATCATGTCTCTTCACAGCAATAGAAACCCTAACTAAGACATATGGTCAGGTCCTTCTCAAATGCTGGGCTTACAGGTAGTTGCCGCCATGATTGGATTTATGTGGTGCTAGAGTTAGAACCCAGGCTCCACACATGCTAGACAAGCAAGCACTCTACCAATGGAGTGACACACCCTGCTCCTCAGAACATTTTAATTCAAACACTTTAGCCAGTGGCATTCAGTGATAGAAACAGAAGTTTACCAAGAACACTGGTATGGTGATGAACAATCTTCTGACTTTTTTCTTTCCTTTTCTTTTGGGTTTTTGAGACAGTGTTTCTCTGTGTAGCCTTGGCTGCCCTCAAACTCATAGAGATCTTCCTGTCTCTGACTCTTGAGTACTGAGACTAAAGGCATGCGCTAGCTCATGATCGATAATCGGAAGCAAGCATGTAAAAATGGAAGGTCCTTACAGGGGAACATTAAACCAGCAAAATAGTTCCCCAAACATCTCATATTTTTGGCAATAGTTCTTTCGCTTCAGGAACCTTTCGAGAATTTTTCCTTTGGGGGAGGGGGCTTGAGGCAGGGGTTCTCTGTGTCTTTGAAGGCTGTCCTGGAACTAGCTCTTGTAGACCAGGCTGGTCTCAAACTCACAGAGATCCACCTGCCTTTGCCTCCCGAGTGCTGGGACTAAAGGTGTGTGCCACCACTGCCTGGCCCCTTTTAAGAATCTTAAGGAACAACATACAGTATACACTGGCCAGGATGGCCAATCATGTCTAATCCGCTCTGAAGGAAATGAGTGGCACATCCACTTCCAGACATATTTCTGACAAAGGGGGTGACAGCAGGAACACTGGGAACATTGTGACCCTGGATAGCAATGGAGTGGGCTACATGGGGCTGACCCTGCACCATATGAGACCAGGAAGGAGCTGACGGTCTCCTTCATCAGCACTCATGTTCTCTTCCATTCCCTCCCACCCATGGTTGGGGTGTCACATGAGTGACTTCTCATCTTGCTACTATTGTGTCTCCAAGCTGGCATGCTAGTGTGTAGCAGGGTGAGGGTCCCTAGTTACAACGTTTGCTTCCTGAGCGAGAAAGGAGCCTGGAGAAGGACTTCAGAGAAGCCAGACCATAGCAGGGTCGGGGAGATTTCCCCAAAGATGTGCCAATCACTGTTTATACAAGATTTAGTCTATTCCACATGCATCATCGGATCCACTCACCATATGCTCTAAAATGACTCAGTACAGGACCAACTACTTACAGGAAGCTGTTCTACTCTGTCCTTAGGGCCTTCCCCTCTCCCCCAAGACAGGGTTTTACTACCATAGCCTTGGTTGGCCTGAAACTCACATGCAGACAGGATCGGCTTGAAATCACAGCCTGCCTCTGACTCAAGAATGCTGAGATTAAAGTCGTGTCCAGCTTGTCCTCACAACCTACTACAACCTACTTGGTATCTGAGATCACAATTATGGGGGGGGGGGCAAAAGACAAAGACACAGACACACAGACACAGACACAGACACAGACAACACACACACACACACACACACACACACACACACACACACACACACACACAGAGAGAGAGAGAAAGAGAGAGACAGCGTGCAAAACGATGTCTCAGGCAGACAGGCTTTATATATGCACGGTGGTTTTTCTGTTTACCTGGATGGTCACTGCTGGCATAGGCCAGCAGAAAGCCCCGACCAGAAATGTGAGATCCACTCTGGAATCGAACAGTCACTTCATTTGAGTTCACCCAGAGTTCCTCAGGAACAGCCCAACTCCCACAATATGGACCTGGAAACAAAGCACACACGTAGCATATTTGAAAACTTACAAAGAACAAAGAAAATTCTGTTTAGAGACAGGATCTACTCCGTAACACATAAAATTTGTAATTCTTATGCGTCTGGAATTTTGTTTGACAGAGATTATTCTGTAACCCTGATTAGACTGCTAAGCTTGGGATGGAGCAGCTGACGGTAGACAAGCAAGAGGTTGCAGGCTGCTCACTATAAACAATCCAACAGAAGAGTTTCGATCTTGGACAAAAAGACTAACGAAACAGAGGTCAAATACATTAAGGAAAAATTGATCATAGAGAATATACACTAGGGACCTACTAAGTTTGCGTGAAGAAACCTAGTCAAAGGAAGTTCCAGATGAAAATACAATGCCCAATGCATGATTTAAAAAAACAAAACAAAGAAACTAGACTGGTAGATGTATGTACCCACATACATACAAATAAATAAATGTAATTACAATGTTAAAATTTTGTTCATATGCATTGTTCACATTTTCCTCTTGCATTAACTTCTGTCTTAACACAAAGTGTGTTTTGATATGTGACAGGGAGTCTGTACAAAAGCATAATGTCACCCTCACCTTGAGACAGGATCTCAGACTGTAGCCTAGGCTACAACTTTTGATCTTCCTGTCTCAGTTTCTAAAGTAATTTCTAAAGGCAAACACTATAGTATAAATTTGTAAGGCATGGAATCCCAGAACTCTTGAGGCAGATATGTTATCTTTGTGAGTTTGAGGACAACCTGGCCTGTATAGAGACTTCCAGCTTCCAGGACAGCCAGGGATACTGAATAAGAACCCGTCTCAAACAAATAAGCAAACAAACAAAAAATAGATGAGCGAATGAATAACCAAAGTAAATTAATTCGGTTAATTTACTGAGTAATAATATTTCTAGCTTGGTGTGGTAGCTTATGCTTGTAATACCAGGACTCAGGAGTCTGAGGCAGGAAGATTGCCATTCTGGGCTACATAGAAAAACATATCAAGAAAGAAAGAAAGAAAGAAAGAAAAAGAAAGAAAGAAAGAAAGAAAGAAAGAAAGAAAGAAAGAAGAAAAAAGACTATAACTCATTGTTAGAGGAGATTGCTTGAAAAGCAATAGCAATGTTGATAAACTTTCAAAGGGCAAAATTAGACTGAGTGTAAAACAGAAACTAAAACCCTTCCTATGACTAATTAAGTAAAATCCAATAGAACACTGCATTCCGAAGTGTGCATGTGGAGGTCAGAGGATTTTTAGATTTGGTTCTCTTTCTACCATGTGAGTCCTGGGGACCAAACTCAGGTCCATGAGATTGGTGGCAAGCACCTTACCCAAGAAACCATCTTGTGGGCTCCACCAGCAAGTTTTGTTTTTGTTTGCTTTTCCTTTACTTTTGTGAGACAGTCTCATTGTACACTCTTAGTTGGCTTGGAACTCACTACATAGACCAGGTTGGCCTAGAACTCACAGAGATCCATCTGACCCTACATCCTGAATGCTGGGACTAAAGGCACTACCACCACGCCCAGTTCTATAAGCACTTTTTGAAGGGAGATTCTTCACCAACTTCTCTTAAAGCAATATAGACGCAGCCAAGAACAGCAGCTACAAACAGGCTAAGAAGGAAGAGATGTGGAAAAGAATGATCACTCCAATTCAATAGGAATCAAACCAGCTTCACTTCCCCAAACCCTTATAGGATCAAAATGGGCCTGTTCTGTAAATCAAGAACCCAAGTAATCAACATCCTGTCCTGGTAGGAAGGATGTGTCTACTCTCCTGTCCCATCCAGGTTTCATATTCTGAAGGTGTGAGAGACTAGCAGAGGGATGGGGCCTTATTCTCCTGCCCTACATCTCTGTTCTTCCCTATTACTAAGTTAGAGTGAAATCCAAGTACAATGACTTCTTGGCCCAATTCATCCATTAGATTTGGGGGAGGGGAGTAAATATACATGCCTAAGTGTGGACACGTGTGTATCTGTGCACCGGTAGAGTTTTCCTCTATTGCTCTTAACTTTATTGAAGATATACTTTGAGTGTTTGCATGCAGGTATGTATGTACACTATGTGTGTGCATGCCTGGTGCCCACAGTGACCAGAAGGTGGTATTGGATCTCCTGGAACTGGAGTTAGAGATGTTTGTGATCTGCCATGTGGTTGCTGGAAACTGAACTTCGTCCTCTGCAAGAGAGGCAATTGCTCCTAACTACCGAGCCATCTCTCAAACCCCTCTATCTTAGTTTTTGAAATAGTCTCTTGCTGAACCTGGAGTGTATGGATTGGGCTGGGCTGTGTGGTCAAAAAGCTAAGTGCCTGGCTTTTATCTATGTACTGGAGATCACAACTCCATTCTTCGAGCATTTGGTAGGCACCATGCCAACTGAGCCATCTTCCCAGCTCACACTTGCCCCATTAAAAGCCCTCATCACATATTAATACTTCCCTGATATAATATTTGCAGGTAACTGACTTAGAATAGCTCATATACCAAGAACTATATGAATGCTTCTTTAATAAAAAATGCATCGTTTCTCTTTAGACTGTGCCCACAGAGCAAGACAAGCTTATATGTGCCTCTTTCTCCAGCAGAGTACATTCTGTCCTTCAAATATTGCTTTTGTTAAAATGTTCTTCTACTTACAACAATTTGTAAAAGCCAAACCCAAATAAAAGGACATGTGGAACATTTTTTAAAAATGGATTCTCTTTGATATATATGAGAAAGAAGTGAACTGTGCCAAAGAAAGAAAATAATTGAATACTACAGCTGGTTCATGACTGTAATCCTAGCACTTGAAAAGAGGAGGCAGGAAGATTTGGAATTCAGTGGCAGCTTGGGGTACATGCCAGGGGCATGTCTCAGAAACCAAGGGCTGGGGATGTCTGTAACTCAGTGGTGCCAGACACCAATCCATCTCAGACTTAGCATGCCACAAAAGGTGTGTCCTAGTGGGAGTATGAGAAACCTTTCTCTGTATCAATGTCATGTAGATAGGCTTTCCTGATTTCCTTAGTGACCACATCGTGATCGAGCCTTAGCTTGGGGTGGGGAAGGGGCTGTTTCAATGCAGCCTGATGGGCAAGGCATCCAAATTATCACCCAATCCCAAGGCTGGACAGCTGCAGATTCTTTTTCACAGGCTAGAAGCTGTGTAAACTGACAACATGGTTAACAACATGCTTAAGCAGAAAGTTTTTATTGTGGATATGAGGGACAGAACAGCCAGAGGCATCTGAAGGAGTCCAGAACAGAGAGGGAAGGTAGTAGACTGAGCATGGCCAGCAGATTGGACTTAGCCATGAACAAGGGGAGGGGGGTGCGAGCAAGAAACGAAGAGATATGAAAAAGACACATGAAGAGTGTACCAAGAGCAGAAGACAAAAAGGAGGGAGCCTAGCTGAAATAGCAGGGTTATAAGGAGAATGAACAGCTTGGGGAGGGAATCCCATGAGCTCCAGGAAGTTTGGGGTGGGAGGAGGTGAGAAGAGCTGAGAAGAGCCAGGATACCATCATGGACTTTGAAATGTGTAACAGGTACTTGTCATACTGAGGGAGCCTGGAGACCAGCATGGGCTTTGATACGCTGATAGTCACCACAGACAGCCTTTTGTCCCTTCGGCCAGCAAGAAAGGGGAAATGGCTAAGCTGGTAGGGGAATGCTGGCTTTGTCTAACAGTCAGACTCTGGAGGAGACAGAGTTCCCTTTGGACCCAACAGAAGCTAATAACTGTCTTTCTAGAGTTAAAGGGGGGGAAGGATATTCAATGGGAACCCCTAAGAGCCCCTGGCTATCCAAGCAAAGCTCTCAGTTTTCAGGCAGACTCCTTGGAGGATGATAACCCACCCCATACACAATGTGGAGCTGGGTTGAACCTAGGGCTCTGCAAGGGCCGGGCTAGTGCTCTACTACTGGTTATCTCCCTAGTCCTCTTTTTCACTTTTTATTTTAGGACTAGAACATTTGTTTGCTTAGACTGATCATGAACTCACGAGATAGCCCTTGTGAAATTCTCCTGCCTCAGCCCCTGAGGAGCCGGCATGAGAGGCATTCACCGACCTGGTAGACGGCATCTTTTCCTATGAAAACTCTCCAGCCTATATGTGATTAAGCAGTAGAATTGGGTGCCACACACCAGCATTTTGGTCAGTGATGAGCCATGCGTATTCCTGTGACCTCATAAAATCAAAGCATTCATGTTTATAGTGATGCCGGCAATTACAAACATCCTGAGCTGGACAGGGTGACTCATGCCTGTGATCCCAGCACTGGGAGGCTAAGGTAGGAAAACTGCCATGAACTTGAGATCAACCTGAATTACATGATGAATTCCAAGCCAGCCTGGGTAAGACCCTGTCTCAAAACAAGCATGCAAGCTGGGTAGTGGTAGTATACACCTTTAATCCCAGCATTTGGGAAACGGAGGCAGTCAGATCTCTATGAGTTTGAGGTTAGCCAGGGAATAAACAGAGAAACCCTGCCTTCGAAAACCATAGATAAATAAAATAATGATAATAATAAAATAAAAATAAACTTCCTGCCCTGCACATGCTATAGATAGTATATGATGTTCTGGTGGAAGCTTCACCCCAGCCCCTGGCATCCATATATCCAAAGAGTCTGATGAAACTTCACCCCAATCCTCGATTGTTAGGTATACCTTGGCCCCACCCCTTGGGGACCTGGCAGAGTATGTCACTCCTGTGTGCATGGCAATCCCTACCCTCGCTCTGTAAGCAGCCACAAAAGGTCCCTTTAAGAGACAAGCTCCTCCTATTTCCTCTCTCTTTTGGCTGGTCCTGTCTGAGGAGGCAGGCAGGTCTCTGTCTCCCCTCTCTGCCTTACCTTTCCCCACTCCCTTCCCCCAGTAAACCTTCCCATGTGAGTTCTGCCGTGTTTGTCTCTCACCTGCCATAAGATCTGCCAAGGTCTCCCTTGCATAGAATATCATAACACCCCTCTCCCATCTCTCTCCAAGCCCTGCTACATCTCAGAAAGCCTG